TGGATTAACCATAAAAAGGTTAAGTCCTACTTATATGGATATATATGAACCGGTATGGGACGGTGTCATATTAGGGATGGCTTAGTTCAAAATACTAAGACCTACCTATATTGGGAATGGATTAGTTCAAAACACTAAGCCCTACCTAATTTGGATTAAGGTATGGATTAACCATAAAGGTTAAGTCCATCACCTAATTGTGTCATGTTAATCAAATACATGAAATGACCTATTATGATTTCAGGATGGATTTGTTATACATATATCAGACCACTATACAAATGGATGATATTTTGTATTAGGAGTATAAGGATTTTATGTATATAATATATGATGCCATGGTATGAGTTTGAATCTCAGGACCATGATTAGGGCGCATATATCGCCTAGGATGGATAACTGGACATAGATGTTGTTCCCTGGTAGGTCTAGGTACTCATGCCCACCTTAGGGTGCGTATTTGCGTGTTACCTTCTATTGAGGCTGAGACAGACCTACTGGACTAGCGAGCGTCCAGTAGTGTGTACTATATATACATATATGGACTACTCTAGATATTGTTGAGTCTTTCTAGGATGTATCTGCGTATCGGATTACTGTTTGGATCGTAGTAGATCAGGACTTGCATGTGGGCCTGACCCACTCTATTATTTTTCAGGTGTTCGATAGTACCGGTCTTAGAGCTGGATTGTGTTAATGCAGATACAGACACTCACTCTTCCGGTTACATAGGATTTCCTTTCTATTTTAAATTTTGGATTTTAATTCTGTAAATTTATTCAAGGATTTGGGATTAGGGGTCCACTAGGTGGATTCCCGAGTTGTACGGTTTTAAATCATATTAATTTATTTATTTCAAGTTTGAGGATTCTTATGTTAGATTTCTTTCAGCATATTATTAATTTGTTCTTAATTCAGTTTTATTTCTGCTTGTTTACATATTAATTGTTTGGTATCCCTCGGATCTGTACTCGGACTTGATCACCCGTGGCTCTAGAATCGAGGGGTATCACAGCTTCCACGGTCTTTCCTATTTGTCTCTTAAAAATTTTGCTAATAAGCCTTTGGTAAGTTGCTTTGGCGTTTTTCAGTCCGAATGGCATGACTTTGTAGCAATAGGTCCTGCGCTCGGTAACGAAAGAAGTTTTATCTTCATCAGCAGGGTCCATGGGGATCTGATTATAACTGGAATAAGCATCTAAGAAGGTTAAGCGCTCATATCCAGTAGTAGTATCCACCATTTGATCAATTTTCGGCAGTGGAAAGCTATCCTTGGGGCAGGCTTTGTTTAAATTGGTGAAATCGATACACACCCGCCATTTCCCATTCTTCTTCTACACAACAACAATATTTGACAACCAGTCAGGATAACACACTTCTCTTATAAATCCTGTGTCAAGTAGCCTGTCAACCTCCTCGGCTATGATCTAGTTACGCTCTGGAGCAAACCTTCGTTGCTTCTGCTTTACAGGTCTTGCATTGGAATTTATGTTCAAGGAGTGGCAGGATACGGAAGGATCGATTCTAGGCATGTCTAGGTGGCTCCACGCAAATACATCGGCGTTCTGAGACAATAAATCAACTAACTCATGTTTCTCTTGCCATAGCAAGTCGTTCCTCCACTCTGGTTGTTCGTTCGGGTCAGAACCGATCGATCTGTACATCAACCAAGGGTTCTTCGGTCAAGTCCAGTGGCTCCTCTTCCCCATTCTGCTTGGGGGGAGGTTCCTGTAATTGCTATCTTGGGCTTGCCGAATAGATGGGTGCTTTCCCTTTTCTAGCATGCTTCAGCGTTACCGAATAACATTCCTTAGCTACAACCTGGTCCCCATGGATGTTGACTACCTTGGCTCCGTTCGGTCCCAGGCATCTCATTACTTGATGCAAAGTGGAAGGAACATCTTGAACTCTGTGGATCCATCCTCTGCCCATCAGAAGGTTGTACGAGGGATGGATGTCGACAACCACAAAGGTCTCTATCAGAACCCTCTCTGCAGCGCGTACCGCTACCTCCACCGTACCGATGGGTTTCACTCGTTTTCCATCAAACCCTAGTAGAGGATTCCCGGTAGATTTGAGCCGGTCCGGCTTGATTTCGAGCAGATCAAATGTATCCCTCGGCATGACGTTCGCACTATTTCCAGGATCAATCAGAATTCTACGTACCAAACATTCGGCCACTGTCAAACTAACGACCAACGGGTCCTCATGAGGGGTCTGAGCACGCAATAGATCTATTCTGTCAAACTTTATCTGTGCTTATGCGCTCTGTTGGTGCAGAGTGTTTACACTGCCCACCCTTCTCTTCATCCGTACATGGCAAAGGCGTGTTCGAAACAGTTCATCCAACTCCTCAGTAGGCTCAGGCCGACCGTGAATTGCATTGATTATTCGGACTGGTTGCGTATTGTGAGGGTTCGACTTCTGATTCCTCTTCACATGCTCCATTGGCCGGTTCTGTTCCGCCACCGGGCCTTGAGTATAACTTGCGAACTCCCCTCTGGCTATCAGCATCTTTACCTGTCTCCTTAAGTTCCTGCATTCGTTAGTCTGATGGCCGAAGTCAGAATGAAATGCACAATGCTTAGACTGATCCCTCTGTTCGAGGGGTTGTCTGATTGGTAAAGGTGATCGGAACTTATCTTTATTTTCTTGGTACAGCCTTGCTAAGGTGACTTTTAATGGAGTAACCAGCTCTTCCTCTCTGGGCCTCTTCTTAGATTTTCACAAGGAATGCTGTGGCTGAACCTGCTTTCGTCTGATCTTTACTTTGGTTTTGTCCTCTGTTGATATGACGGATGTTTTCCGAGCGTTTGCTGCCTCTTCTTCTTCCAAGCGCACAAATCCATCGGCTCTTTCATTTAGTTCATCCATAGTCTTCGGCGTGTTCACTACCAAGCTTGTGTGGAATGGAGTGCCACGAGTCATGGCCAATATAAATGCTTGGACCGCCGTAGAAGGGTGACATTCAACTACCATACTCTTGGTAAGGTTAAACCTGGTTAGGAAAGCTTGGAGGCGCTCATCCTCATGCTGCTTCATTATGAATAGGCTTGAAATGTCCTTTGCCGGACGCTTATTTCCATAATATTGGCTTATGAACCGATCACATAAGCTTCGGAAACTATCTACTGAGCCCCTCGGCAGGTTCTTAAACCAATTGAGGGCTGGTCCAGCTAGACTTGTAGGGAAACACTTGCACATCAAGGAATCATTCTCAATGTTCAGAGCCATTTTCAACTGGATGTGATACACATGATCAATCGGATCGGTCATTCCGTTAAACAGAATGAAGATGGGCATGGAAAATTTCCTCGGACTCGGAGCATTCAGAATTTCATCAGTGAACGATGAGTCAACCGTTCGAGCTGCTGAACGGAGGGCTTCATTTTCCCTCTGGAACCCCGCGGTTGCTCTCTGATCTACAGATCTCCTTTCTAAGCCGCGATAGTCGAACGTCGCCATGGAAGGCCGATAGGTCGGATCGAATGATCTGTCCTCTACGAACTCTCTGTGCCATGGAGGTATAGCCTTGTGACGATCAAACTCCATTGCTTCACCTCGGTTGAGCGTTTCTTGATGTGGATCAAAGGTCATGGCTTCGTTTCGCTGATCTGTTCACGCCGTAGATCCACATGAGTTGATCCTTCACGATTATCAATACGACGGGGATTTGGCGGTAAATCGTTTGGTCGGACTTCCTCGCGGTGAAGATCTGTCTGATTGTTCCCTACCTCCTCGCCGTGATGTGCCGCATCGGTATGTGCAATTTGTTCTCCAGCCGGGAGTAGTCGCGGAATCACTGGGACTTCTTGACGCTGCATTTCAGTCCTTAAATCTGCATTCTCTCTTCTGAGAGCTTCGATCATGCTCATCAACTCATCAAGCTTCACCTGCTGGACATTCTCTACCGTATTGGAGTTCTCACCCCCAATTATCATTCCAAAACGGAGCAAAGGCATGAATCGTAAGTTCAACTCTAGATCGGAGCCTCTCCAATGTCAATCACGGTAGATCTGAACTCAAATGTTACGAGTTTTGCTTTCCTTTCAATAAATTAGAGTTGTTCCGGCGTTTGAGCTTGGCGGATCGAGTCGCGATAGAGTGGATCACGGCTGCGTAAACCTAACGCCAATCTCTCAGAATCAATCAAGAATCCAGAATTTCTTCCAAAGCCAACCGCAATCTCCTAGATCCGGACTAAACTGCCACAAATTAAGCTTCGTCATCATCAATCAGTCGGAATCAACATGACGTTGATCAAACAGGAATCAATCTTCCACGTTTCCCACAGACGGCGCCAATTGAAGATGCAAGAAGTTCCTTCGATTTTTCTCTCTCTAAAATTCTCACACTTCAACAGAATGAAAAAGTCCAAAAAACCTCCCTCTCTCTCTACTCGTATGGTCTATTTATAGACCATCACCAAAATTCTCACCAACTTACTGTATATGGCTCTTTTTCTTGGGCCTGACTTCATTATGTGAGCCTCAGATGTTGGGCCTAACTCTCAGTGTTGTGTTATGGGCTGAGCTCAACTGTTTGGTCCGATCCTTTTTTCGTAGGTGTTGGGCTCATTGCGGTACCCTTTTTGCTCGGGCTCGGACCTACCATTCAATCTGATGCCTCACTCGCGGGTCAGGTCTGGTCCAATCCGTAATTGGCATTGTCAGTTACAAAAGCCAAAAACACGATTTATAATAAAATTAAACTAGCGCGAAGAAGCAGAACCTGAAGCACATCAGAAAATTTTTGACTAACCTAAATAGTGTAATTGTCAGAATATCATGCATATTATACCACCTAACCTAAAGTAAGGGTAAATATGATATTAACAAAATCACATTAGCTTCTCATTCTCTTTCCTTTTTTCTTTCATCGCCTTTCATTTTTGAAAGGATAATAAAAGGTTGTGATTTATGTTTTAGTTTTTCCATTCGAATACCTCCGTTCCCTTTCCTTTCCATCCGTTCCCTCTCTTTTACATCCAATATTTTTTACTAAATACAACTTTTTATTTTCTTCAAATCATTTCATTTTTTTTTTCATTGTACCAAACTGGCCTAAGCGACAAATAACGTACCTATCACAACACATAAAGTATTTATTCTCGGTCAATCACAAAATCATTTTCAACAACTTACATTTGTACTCACATAATTGTAATGATACAAATCGACAATATGAAGAGAAGTACACAAATCTATATAATATATTGAACTCGTAAAAAAGCCATATTAGGTGACGCAGCCCACCATAATCAATAAAGTTTATTTGAGAGCAGGAAGTTCTTTATATGCACACCCTTTTGCAGGAAAGATTATACACACACACACACATACACACACAATTGCTGACTCTGCTCCTCCTCCCTCTCTCTCTAGATGTCCTCCTCCTCCTCCTCCGTTACAGCAGAAGATCAAATTCACACACACACACACACTAGTATGGGTTCGGCCGAAATAGAACCAATGGGTAGATGCCACGTGGTGGCCTTGCCTTATCCAGGAAGAGGACACATCAACCCTTTGATCAACCTCTGCAAACTACTAGTTTCTCGGAGCAGCGACGATCTTCTGATCACCTTCGTCGTCACGGAGGAGTGGCTTAGCTTCATCGGCTCCGAGCCCAAGCCGGCTAACATTCGGTTCCGCACAATCCCCAACGTCCTGCCTTCCGAGCTGGTCCGCAGCGCCGACATGCCCAGCTTCATCGATGCCGTTTTGACGAAGATGGAGGAGCCGTTCGAGCAGCTCCTGGACCGGCTGGAGCAGCCGCCATCGCTCATCATGGCTGATGTTTTTGTTCCGTGTGCGGTTAACGTCGGGAAGCGGAGGAATATTCCTGTGGCTGCGATTTGTCCCACGTCGGTATCGGTGTTTTCAGTCTTTTACCATTTTGACCTTTTGGTGCACAACCAGCATTATCCTTTCGATGTGTCAGGTACACAAACTTCTTAGAAATATAGGGAATTATTACATGTAAATAGTTTTAAAAATTCATATTTACCACGAGTCAATTTCGAAAAATTGAAGTTACATAAAATTTTCAATTCAAGACATGATATGCTAACTTCATTCTCTTTTAGGTGCTGTCCGTTTCGGCCTAAGATATTATTTTTAAAAAAGATTTTTTTTTTTAGTAAAATATTCTTTTATTTTTACTTTGTCAATGTTTGTAAAGGTATACGTCGAGATTGAGGTCGAATTTATTAAGTATGTCATATAAAATAACTTATTGAAAATTGATGAATAAGTTATTTTTGTTAAATTTTAATATATATATATTTTTTCGTAAATATTTTATGACAATCAAATACCAAAAAATAAAAAATTACTATAATCAAACACCAAAAAATAAAAAAAAATATTTTCTGAAAAATATTTTACATCCAAACAAACGAAGCATTAATACTAATATTAATTTCTAATTTTTGTGTGGAACAAGTTTTCGTAGAAGTATTGAACAAATTGTCATTTTGAAAAGTTATGATGACTGTTGTTCTATGTTATGTGACCAAAATGTTGATGTTCATATAAAAAAATACTACTCATTTGTCCAAAGGATAAGTACCACGTTTTTGTCATTAGATATCACTTTTATGCATATACATATTACTTTTTATGCACATAGTTACCACTTTTTTTGCAAGTATGTACTATTTTTTTTTGTGTTCAGCAAATATGTACTATTTTTTTGTGCAACACAAAAAGTGATATATTCGTGTAAAAAAAATAATACCTATGAGCTTAAAAGTGGTACCTTTTGGCAAATAAATTGTATTTTTCTATGTCCACGTCAGCATTTTGGTCAATTTCATTTTTTTTTTTTTTTGAAATTATGAGACTTTGACTTCATTAAATGATAAATATGAGTCATTAACACCATTTATATGTAAAAATCCAAAAATATATTACACTTTCTTGATATTCTTATTTTATTTTATTATTATTTTTTTCTTTGTGTCAAGAAAAGGTTTTTAAGGTTCACTTGGGCTCCGTTTGGTCTGATGGGAAATAAGCAAGAAAAGAAAAGAAAAGAAATAGAAAATGAAAGAAAAATGAAGGTTCCATTTGGTTATACGGAAATAGTAAGAAAAGAAAGGAAAGGGAAAATGAAAAGAAAAATGATTTTCTACTATGTATCTGGTTAAGCTGAAATTTATTCAAGAAAATTGTAGGAAAATATAATGTTATAGTTTAGATACCTAAATTGTCTTTATTCTATAAAAATGATAAAATAATAAAAAAATTAATTAGTAGTATGTATATAAAAAATGATAGAGTTTTTAATTAATTTAGACCTTGTAAACTACTATTTATTTCATACATATATGATGGAATGCAACTAAAAATGAAAGTCAAGTTAATTAAAACCCTATCAATGATAAAACTGTTGTTTGACGGTAATTCTTTGAAATCAATAAAAAAAATACAATAAAGTTGTTGTGTAAAATAATGCAATAAAGTTGTTTGGTAAAATAGGAACACAAAATAATAAGATGTTGTTTTCACGTGAAAATACAATTTTCTTCTATTTTATGTATGAAACGTTTTGAGGAAAATAGAGAGTTACGAGAATTTTAATTTTCCAGAACTTTTCCTTTTCTATCTGGCCAAACTTCTAAAAAGTTTCAAAATTTTTTATTTCATTTATTTTCTAGTTGATTCTATCTAGCCAAACGAAACTGAAGTGAATGAAAAGAAAATAAATTTTTTAGCATATATTTGGTTAGCATAAAGATTTATTCAAGAAAATTGTAAAAAATTAGTTAGTTAGTTTGGATAGTATGAAAAAGAATGTAATTATACATATCAAAACTACTCTTATGATTTCAAATGCTAAAAAAATAAATTAATTTGTGTTTGATGATATCTATTTTTATTAATGAAATATTACAATGATGGATTATTTAATTTAATAACATAATTGTTTAATATTTATTTCTACTATTTAAATTTAAAATAAGGCTTCATAATAATTTTTTTTAGGTAAAACTAATTTATTAGTTTAAGAAAAATGAAACTTAAATTTTTTTTTTTTTGATTATATGTGTTTTTTTTTTTTGTTGGTAAAACTATATATTGTTGTTGGCAAATATATTATTATCAAGTATTAGATAATACAAATATGAAAAAAAACAAAGGGTTAGATGAGCCTCCCATCTATATCGTAGTTTGTAGTTTATGGCTCACACAGACAAACAAACCTAGTAAAAAATAAAGAAAGAAATCATGAAACAAGTTTCGTCTTTTTTTACAAGTTGTTTGGCATGATTAAATTTTTCGATAAAATAGAAATATCGAATACAAAAGGAACTCATTTAATGCTTTGCCTGTTTTGTACACGAAAAGTTTTTAGGACAAATAAACAAGTGCTAGAAATTTTCTTATAGGTTTATCTTTCTTTCGATCCAAACTCTAAAAAAAATTTAAATGTTTTCTCTTTTATTTCTTTTCTAGTTGATTCCATCTAACCAAACAAAGCCTTGTTGTTAATGTTATGATGAAAATTGGTTTTATTACTAAAGTTGTCAAAAATTGTTGCCAGTAAAAAAATATGTTGGCATACTTTTCATAATTAAAGTATTTTTTAATTTGTTTGGCAATAATACTTTTTTAAGCACTTTTATTTCTAATTTTATAATAAAGTATTTTTTGAAAGTTCAAACAAATGCACACAGTGTCTGTACCATATGCTTTGATATCCATCAATTGCAATAATGCCTTTTGATGGGATTGTTATTATATAAGAATTACAGAAGATACAAGACATCTATTTTGAAAACAATTTTAAAAGCTACAAATTTTAACTTTATCCAAGCTAAAATTTCCATCATTTTTAGAAGAGGTATTTTTTATTTTTTATTTTTATTCGGTTTCCAACAATTTTAAAAACAAAATTTCAAAACAAAAGCATTTTTAAGTGGTTCATCACTTTCCAAACGGGCTTAATGTTTTTCATATCCTTAAAAGAAATGAAGTAATTTTTTTTCCCTAAAACATGCTCACATTTTTTATTTCTTGAATGCCAAAACCATTATTATCGATGTGTCCAAATACCAAATGATTTATTTTGTACAATTTTTTTTAATGTAAATTTACGTTGTGATGTAAAACATTTTATTTGTGTATGTGTTTTCTTGTGACAGAAAGAGGAGATGAGCGGGTGGGTTACATCCCCGGAATATCATCAATCCGTCTGGTAGATCTTCCTACAATCTTCTACGAAAGTGAACAACTTTTGTACAACGCTGTCGAAATGATTTCTCATGTGGACAAAGCACAATTTTTGTTGTTCACCTCCATATTTGAGCTCGAAGCTCATGTCTTCAATGCTTTAAAAGCAAAAATGCCAATACCCATGTACTCTTTTGGCCCCTTAATACCTCATTTCACACTTGGTGACGGTGCCTCTGACCAAATGGCTAGCCACAATGACACCAATTACCACAAATGGTTAGATTCTCAGCCTCAAGGCTCTGTTTTGTACATTTCAATGGGGAGTTTCCTCTCTGTTTCAAGTGCCCAAATGGATGAAATTGCAGCCGGGTTGCGCGCTAGTGGTTTACGGTTCTTGTGGGTGGCCTGTGGGGAAGCTTCAAGGCTAACGGAGGCTTGTGGAGACGCAGGAATGGTGGTGCCTTGGTGTGACCAATTGAAGGTCTTGTGCCATTCTTCAGTGGGGGGATTTTGGAGTCATTGTGGATGGAATTCAACTATGGAAAGTGTTTTCGCTGGCGTACCAATGCTTACCTTTCCTTTACTTATGGATCAAGTCCCAATTAGTAAGACTATAGTCGAAGATTGGAGGATTGGGTGGAGGGTCATGAAGAGGGAAGGGAGAATGGAAAATTTGGTGGGGAGAGAGGAAATTGCTGACCTTGTGAGGAGGTTCATGGATTTGGAAAGCGCAGAGAGACAAGAAATGACTAGAAGGGCAAGAGAACTTCAGAAGATTTCTCGACAAGCAATGGTTAAAGGAGGATCTTCTGAAGTCAACCTTAGTGCTTTCGTTAGGGTCATTTCACAATTGACAAGAACATTAAGTTGATTTACTTGTTACTTTAGATTTTATGAACATTATGGACACTACTGTATTAATGCATGGTATATGTTCTTTCTGCATTCTTTTTACGTCTCTACACACACATATACATATTCATGGGCACTAATAAAGTCATTTTGTGGGATTTTAATGATATATATATATATACACAGTTAGGATATACAATACCATGTCATTTTGTGTACCTTATTTCATGCTTTTGAAATTATTATCTTTTTTAAAAAATTAATATTTTCTTAGACAAATATTCATGTAACACTTACCAATATCAAATTGTATCCTTGTCTAATTCTGTCAAAAGAAATATGCAATAAAATTTCATGCAGGAGTGATAAATTTAGATTTGGAAAAAGCTCATTAAAATGACCACCAAAGACTTAATCATATCCTTTTCTTTTCAAGTAGAAGGTTGAGATTCAAATTCCTTATCCGATTAAAAAATCTGTTAAATGCATGCATGATTTACTTAAAATAAAATATTGAAATGTGTGGTACCCCATTATAGAAATATAATATTTAGGATTAATTACAGTGACACTCTACGAGGTTTGTCAATATCGTACATAGATAGAGAATTTGATTTTAGTCTTTAATAAAAAAATCTCCCAAATGTTTGTCCTCTTTTACACAACCACCGTCGCATATACATGGTAACAAAGCTCTGACACTATGTAAAATGACTTGAATATCCTTTGACTTTGTTAAATCACAAAGAATTACGTAAAAAGACTAAAATACCCTATAGATTCTTTGTAGGTTTACAGTCACACCCTTTCACTTCAATACCTTATATTTTATATACTTTTAATTAAATATTTAATTATTAAATGAATATTTAATATGCATATTAAATGCAAATTTAATTTATACATTACACCTTCACTCTAATACAAGAAATTATTTATTTACATAAATAATATTGTTAACACAAAATAAAAAATGTAATTAAATAGTAGTTATATTTTAAATATTAAATACATTATTTATTAAAGAATAACCAAAAATTGAATACGTATTTAACAGTAATATATTAATAAGAATTTAGGTAAAAGTGTATAACAATAATATATTAAAAATTAGGTAAAAGTGTTTAACATCGTTAAGAGACTAGACGAGATTGAGTTAAAAGGGTCCACTGCTTTAGCAATTCTAATGGACTGCTATTTAGGCTGCTATTTTTAAAATATAGTATGTGGATTTAAAATGGACTCTTTAATGACATGTCAAATGGGCTGTCAAAATATAACTTTTCCAAATGTTGTGCTAAATATAACACAACATATAACTATTACCAAATCTGCTATTGCTCTCTTCCTTCTCTCTTCTTTCTCGCATGGACTGCTAATTTGGTATTGTGCTTGTGTATATATATATATATATATATATATATTTGTCAGTTGTGCTTGTATATATATGTGTGTGTGTGTGTGTGTGTCAGTGTTGTGTGCATATATATGTATATGTCTGTTGTGTGTGTATATATATATATATATGTCTGTTGTGCTATGTATATATATATATGTGTGTGTCAGTGTTTTTATTTATTTATTTTTAATAAGGTAAATAAGCTAAATAAAATACAAACATTCACAAAAAAAAAAAAAAAATTGTAGTCGGGAATAGTAGTTGAAAAATAATAGTTGTTGTGTAAAAAAAAAACATTTTAGATGTGATGCACCATTGGAGCAGAATTGCTAAAATATAGCATTTTGACACTGTACCTCTTCTCAAAATATAGATTTGGCATGCAAAAATGACATTTTGCATTAAGATGGCCTTATGACCCCCACTATTAAAAGGAGTTAATTGGGTCTGTGAGGACCCAAAAAGCCCCTGATGGGCCTGGAAGAGAACTACTACAAATCACTTTATGATCGGGGTCCACCTTACAAATAGGGCATTCTGTCACCAGGTGATTCGCAATTTGACCAAAAATTTTAAGTTATTAGGTGGTGTTAACACTCAATTTTATGTTTAAAACTCTTTTCATTCAGATCCGATGTACGAGAAGAATTCATAATATTCTTTCACACTTAAACTTGTAACGAATTCGTTGTGGTTGCCCACCATATCTACCCCCATCTACTCTAACAACTCTTAATATCCCAGTGTCATCTCTCAAATCTTATTTATTTTACTTGCACTTTATTTTTATTTTGTAAATTTAATTTTAGTTTTATTTATGTAAAATTAAAATAAATAAAAATTAATTAAAAGAGTAAGTAAAACCTATATACCACACATCTAGATTATTTTTAACACAAATTTCTATATCCTTATTCCGCTGCACGCTCACAAGAATAAAAGTTAAAAATGTAACGTTGCACCATTAACCAAGAATGATAATTTTAAAACCGAAAATTAAACCTACAATCCCTCAACGGTACGGTGGCATAGGTCCTACCACTATTATGGTGGGATAGGAGCCTAGGATCCACACACTCTCATGGCTGGTCTTGGATTTTCGTACACAATTAATATCTTTATAAATAAATTATGAAAATTGACTTTTAAACTGATTTCTCCCGTCGATTTCTGTGATCTAATATTTTTCACTATAAGTGACAAATAACGTAGCATCATTACTCATAAAGTATTATTCTCAGTCAATTACAAAATCATTTTCAACAACTTACATTTGTACTTACGTAATTGTAATGATACAAAATCGACAATATCAAGAGGAGCACTCAAATCTATATAATATATTGAATTGGTAAAAAAGCCATGTTAGGTGACGCAGCTCACTATAATAAATAAAGTTTCTCTGAGGGCAGGAAGTTCTTTAATTATATACACACCCCTTTGCCCGGAAAGATCACACACACACACACATATATATATATATATATATATACATACATACAATTGCAGACTCTCCTCCTCCTCCCTCTCTCTCTAGATCTCCTACGTTACAGTAGAAGATCAGATTCACACACACACATTATTATGGGTTCGGCCGAAATGGAACCAATGGGTAGATGCCACGTGGTGGCCTTGCCTTAATAGGTTATGCTAACTTCATTCTTGTTTAGGCTTCATTTATTTTGACGTAAAATATTATTTTTAAAAAATATTTTTCTCTTTTAAGTAAAATATTTTTTATTTTTACTTTATCGATATTTAGGAAAGGTCTACGTCGAGGTTGATGTCGAGTTTATCGAGTGGGGTATGTAAAATAACTTATCGAAAATTGATGAATAAATTATTTTTGTCAAATTTTAATATATTTTTTCTTCGTAAATATTTTACGACAATCAAACACCAAAAAATAAAAAAATACGACAATCAAACACCAAAAAATAATAAAAAAATATTTTCTAAAAAATATTTTACGTCCAAACAAACAGAGCATTAATACTAATACTAATTTCTAATTTTAGTGTGGGACAAATTTTCATAGAAGTATTAAACAAGTTGTCATTTTGAAAAGTCACGATGACTATTGTTCTATGTTATGTAGCCAAAATGTTGACGTTGATATGGAAAAATACTGCTCATTTGTCAAAAGATAGGGACCACTTTTTTATCATTAGATATCACTTTTATGCACATACATACTACTTTTTGTGCACATAGTTACCACTTTTTCAGCAAGTATGTATTATTTTTTTGTGCAGCACAAAAAATGATATCTTCGTGTAAAAAAAGTAGTACCTATGAGCTTAAAAGTGGTACATTTTGGCTAATAAACTGTATTTTTTCATGTCCACGTCAACATTTTGGTTAATTTCATTTTTTTTTTCGAAATTATGAGACTTTGACTTCATTAAATGATAAATATAGGTTATTAACACCATTTAGATGTAAAATCCCAAAATATATTACACTTTCTTGGTACTCTTATTTTATTTTATATTATTTTTTTCTTTGTGTCAAGAAAAGGTTTTTAAGGTTCACTTGGTCTCCGTTTGGTCTGATGGGAAATAAGCAAGAAAAGAAATAGAAAATGAAAAAAAAATGAAGGCTCCATTTGGTTATATGGAAATAGTAAGAAAAGAAAGGAAAGGGAAAATGAAAAGAAAAGTGAAGTGAATGAAAAGCAAAGTGATTTTCTAGTATGTATTTGGTTAAGCTGAAATTTATTCAAGAAAATTGTTGGAAAATATCATGTTATAGTTTAGATACCTAAATTGTCCTTATTCTATAAAAATGATAAAATAATAAAAAAATTAATTAGTAGTATGTATTTAAAAAATGATAGAGTTTTCAATTAAATTAGACCTTGTAAACTACTATTTATTTCATTCATATATGATGGAATGCAACTAAAAATGAAAGTCAAGTTAATTAAAACCTTATCAAAGATAAAGTTGTTGTTGAACTGTAATTCTTTGAAACCCAGTAAAAAAATACAAAAAGGTTGTTGTGTAAAATAATACAATGAAGTTCTTGGGTAAAATAGGAACACAAAATAATAAGATGTTGTTTTCATTTGAAAATAAAATTTTCTTATATTTTATGCATGAAACATTTTGAGGAAAATAGAGAGTTACGAGAATTTTAATTTTCCAGAACATTTCCTTTTCTATCTAGCCAAACTCCTAAAAAGTTTCAAAAATTTTCATTTCCTTTCTTTTCTAATTGATTCTATCTAACCAAACGAAATTGAAGTGAATGAAAAGAAAATAAATTTTTTAGCATATATTTGGTTAGCATGAGAATTTATTCAAGAAAATTGTAGGAAAATATTAGGTAGTTAGTTAGGATAGCATGAAAATGAAAAGAATGTAATTATACATATCAAAACTACTCTTATGATTTCAAATGCTAAAAAAATAAATTAATTTGTGTTTGATGATATCTATTTTTATTAATGAAATAGTATAATGATGGATTATTAAATTTAATAACATAATTTTTTAATATTTATTTCTACTACTTAAATTTAAAATAAGGCTTCCTAACAATTTTTTTTAGGTAAAACTAATTTATTAGTTAAGAAAAATAAACTTAAAAAAAAAATTGATTATATGTGTTTTTTTTGTTGGTAAAACTATATATTGTTGTTGGCAAATATATTATTATCTAGTATTAGATAATACAAATATGAAAAAAAAAAAAAAAATAGATGAGCCTCCAATCTATATCGTAGTTTGTAGTTTATGGCTCA